TGTTTCATAAAGGGACGCAACCCTTCTTGGCACTCGGTGTCCTTCGGCTTATTCGCTCGAGCGCCCAAAGCAAGGATTTGGCGCTCGCTTGGCGCCAGACTACCTCTCGAGCGACGAATTTATATAGCCAAAATTCTGATTTTTCCTTCTAACATTAGACGACAATTTCTTATTTATCTGAAATTGATTTTGAGATTCCAAATATATTACTATCATCTACTCGATGTAAAGAACAATTTAGTCTATTCACTTTCGTGATTTGACTATTGGAACCCATGCAAATACTTGGCCGAATTTGATACAAAATCAACTTTACTTAGGTTATACTTAACCAATTTTAACCTAATTCCAACACTTATAAACCATTTATAAACATTAGCCAAAGGGAGAAAAGAATATGTTCCATGCTAGATATATATACATGTGATCTAAATTTAGCACGGCGTACAGCCCAAAAAGAACTAGAAGTTGTGATGATTTAGCTCTTGTTTAGTAAATCTTTTTTCGGAGTTTAAGCTAATCAAGCTTTATTTTAACCACACATGGAATGAATTCACAACTTTTGATCACTTTTTAACTACACATTTCACGAGATTCACCAACTTATACCGTCAAAAAGCTTTTTCAAATAGGGGCTTAGTTCTTGAATTACTTGTCAGGATGACAACTTATTTTTTTTAATTATAATACAAAAAAAATCACTTTTTAACTACACATCATGAGACTTCAAAAAGCTTTCTCAAACAGGGCATAATTCTTGAATTACTTATCAGGATCACAACTTACTTAATTTTATACTAAAAAAATTTGGGTCATGTCTTATTTAAGTGTTGACAGCCTCAAAAGATGCTATATCTGTGATTTCTCAATACTTCAGTAATTTGATGACAGTTTCCCCTCTTCTCCAAATTTTTTAATTCATCCAAACAAAAATAAAATTTATTTTCTTCTTTTCTCTATCTTCTATTTTTCCTCTATCTTCAATTAACAATATGGCAAGAAATGCAAGAGCTGGAGGTGAAAAGAGAGCATTTAGTTTGATATTCTTATGCCTCACTGAAGCTAAAATTCAGTGTTCATGGTGTAGGAAGCAGATATCAGAGATAGATGATTAGCTGCCAATGGACAATTATAAGTGCAGCATCTGGCTATTGTGAAGACGTGCAAACAAAAGCCCCACATTTACTGGATATGGAGATAATATTGGATTTATAAAGGATTGAACTGCACCATCAAATATTTTTAACCTTTTGTCCGGGGCGGACCCAAGGTGGGGTCCGGGGGGATCACGCGACCCCCAACTTTTGAGATTTTTATATATATATATATATAAAGTCATGTTTGGTATCGATTGAAATCTACATTTTAATCTAAATCAAAGTTAACAATTAATTTTAATAACATATTGCATGAAATTCATAACTGTTTTCACTTTTATCAAAATTTATTAAAAATTTGATTTTAATCTCCACCAAATAGGGGCAAAATCACAATAAATTTGATTTTTTTTTTCCTCTCTTTTCTCTTGCTCTCTCTTACTCTTTTCTTCATGCATTTTTAGAAAATCTTAACCCTTCTAATTTTTTAAAATTTGTATATAATTTCTCTGCAAATTATCACATTTACTACAAATCTTCACTTTCCAATCAAATTTTCAAGTAATTAGAACCTAAATTTGCATTTTCTCATATCAAACTGTGTATATATAATGTGTTTGAATTCATTATATCCAATTTGATAATATTTAACGAAT